TCAGAGGTTGCCGGAGATTTCAAGGTAGCTGCATGGCATCTGCAGCCCTGTTATCTCCTTCTTATCTTGTTCTTTTTCCGCATTTTGCTAGACTTTTGTTGTATCGGACAGTCAGTTATATAGTAGAGGCTCTAGACTTGTGACACTAGATATTTGGGGCTGTGTTGTCTTATGTTTTTATTGGATTCCGCATTATTTTAGCTATTTTAAACACTTTTTATGAAAACCGGTATTTAATCCTATGTTGAAAAAATGGTTTTATAAAAGAAATTCGATGTGATTGATGGTTTGGGTTGGCTTGCCTAGTAATGCAATAGGCACCATCACGACCGGGTATTTGGGGTCGTGACATGTATATTTCGAATCTTTACTGGTCGTGCGGACTACCGCCCGCCTACCCGTTCTTGGTAGAAAGTATTCCCGGGATAAGAAATCCGGAAGAGAATTATCAATTCCTCTTTTGTACAGAATTTCAAAATCAAAAGGCGCTAGGCCTGAAGATGATGAACTGAAATTCTTTATTTACTTCAAATGAATACTTACAAAAGAAAGAGAGATTTACAGTAGAGAGATGAATTCAAGAGAGAAAGGGGATTTTTTCTGATGCCTCTTCTAAATGAATCCAGATCTAGTTGTTTAGTACCTTTAAAGGTTGGCGGTAGTCCGCACTTAAAGTGGTTAAGTTAAATAGAGACTTACAAGGTCTCATCATTGAAAAAATCATAGCTAGTATGGTTGCAGATGAATTTTCAATTCATGATTATTCTGAAGAAATTAGAGATGATATGCAAAATTATTACTTCTCTGAATAAACTGGCTTGTTATCTGTGCAGAATGGACTCTTCGTGGGCCACCAGAGGCAGAGGTAGAAGAAAAGGAGGAAGATCATCCTCCTCTTCAGGAAGATCATACTTGCAAGGATTATATATATATAGTTTATATGTATTAGATATATATATAGCTTATATATATATATATATATTGCCTTATATATATGTAGTTTATATGTATTAGATATATATATATATATAGCTTATATATATCATATATATATAATATATATACTATATCAAATTTAAACACAAAATAAATTGCAAAGAAATATTCAAGGGAATGTCTTATAATTTTTATTATTACGACATTAATAAAAAATGGCAATATCTCTCTTAGTCTTCCTCCCTCCAATGGAATGAGCATAACAAGGTACTAATACCACCATTAAAAGGAAAAAAATTAAGGAAGATGTGCCAAAATACAAGTTACATATTAGTCTATGTATTATCTCTAACAAATTTCATAAATCCTTCAAGGTTCGGAGGAATTTCCGTTGGTGGTGGCGGAAAAGAAACTTGTTCATCACCGCTTCCGGGCGAAGCAGCATCCTGTGCAAGTTCCGCTAGCATTTCTTCATAAGCTTCGTCTATCTCCGGTTGTGATTCTGTAAGTTCAAAATTTCTTCTTTCCGAACGGATCCAATCTCTGAAGAGTACTGATTTTTCCAAGCTCTCCCTCATAGACGCTCTATGATCACCGATTTGAAGTCTCACTTGACTGAAAGCGCTCTCTGATGCCACTGTTGAAGCTTGAACACTTAAAATATCTCGAATCATCCTTGAAAGAATCGGATAGTGTTTTTGTTTGTCCTTCCACCATTCCAAAACATCAAAGGAGCCGTCGGGATTCTCTGATTCAAGTCCCTGCGACAAATAAACTTGAAGCTCATTTAGTTGTGAACTATCACCAATATTATCACCTTGAGAACCCCTGAACTCCGTCCAAACATTAAGGGCATTAGATAATTGCGAACTAGACGAAGTAGGAGTTGGAACATTTGGTCTAGCATGATCTAAGGCAAGTTTAAGCGTTATAAATTGTTTAATCATTTATTTTAATTGAGGCTTTTGCATCTCCAAGTGTAGCAAATTCCTCATCTTAAAAGTGATAAAGTGTTATAAATTTTTGTGTACCAAAAGTGAGGACCTCCTAATTTCATTGTAGGATTTAACATGGCAGCAACACCAAAAATAGGGGGGATAGAGAAAAAATATTTTTTAAACTTATCTTTCATAGAATTAATAGCAAGTTGATAACTTACCCCACCCTCTGAAAATTGAGTAAACAAATCTGCAAGTGCTGCAATATAAACTAAACAGTTAGAAATAGTAGGATAATATTGCCCAGATAATTCATTTGTAGCAACATGAAATTGTTCTAAAAAGTCTACAAGCATTTTAACATTAGTCCAATCCTGATTTGTAAGGTGCTCATTATCATTATCATCATCACCACCAACACGAGCATTATACGTTGCGTTTATTGGGTTTCTATATTCATATGCAACAACTAAACTTTCATACATGTAATTCCATCTAGTCGGACAAGGTTTAGGAACCTTTCTTTCTCTAAGGCCAAATTCATCACATTTTTTAAAATATTCCCTAAGTCTACTTCTACGGTTTGAATAAAAAGCCAATTAAGAACCATTTTAACCTTTTCAATTTTTACATTTAAAATTTTCATACCATCACGAACGATTAAATGGTAAATATGACAAATACATCTAACATGAAAAATATTACTAAATGCAGGATTTAGTGTAGTTATTGGCAAGCCTATAGCATTAGTGTTACTAGAAGCATTATCCATTGAAACCGACATTATTTTATCTCTAATGCAAAAATATCTACAAATATCTGCAACTGTGTTAACAATAAACTTACCTGTGTGGCGTGAATCAATTATTCTATAAGCAATAATGCGCTTTTGCATTATCCAGTCCTCATCAATCCAATGACTTGTAACAGTTAGATAATCACAGTCATTACCGCTTCTACCAATATCAGTAGTAATAGCAATGCGACAATCCATATGAGTAAATAAATAGCCAAATATTGTTCATATTCATATTTATATTTATATATATCGCTCTTTACGGTTGCGCGAGGTCATCCTTTATAAGTAGGATTAAACACTCTTCTAATATTATGCACAAAGTGAGGGTTAGAAGGAAAACTATAGGGTAAGCACATAACAGTAACTATTTTTGCTAGTTCTTCACGATCTTTATTTGGATCATAATATAAAATGCCACCGGTAACAGTGTTAATTCCGTTTGAACTAGATTTGACCATATACTAGGGTTAACCTCAGTATCTAAACTTCTACCCTCTTGCGCAGCTTTCATTTGTAAATATCTAGTTTTATCTCTAGGGTGTTTCTTTATGTGTCTAGTCAAAGTACCCATACAGCTACGGTATCCAGTATATTTATGAGCCATCAAAGACCCACAAGTTTTACATGTAGCCTTATTGTTTTCTCTTAGTTGAGTAAAAAAGTGCCAAACAAGAGATGTTTCGGTCCATTTAGAAGGTTGTCTGTTAAAAGTAGGAGTTACTACAGGAGGGTCAGGCGGGGCATCATTTGGATTATTATCAGTTGGTTTATTAACAGGATTAGTAGGTGTGTCATCTAAATCCGGTTGTGTTTCATCTAAATCATTATTTTCCTCATCATTTTCAAAGATAGTTTGATTAGGATAAAGAGCATTCATAACTTCATCATTTAATTATTGACCTGGTGCAACATCATGGCAAAATTGACTATCGAAAAATTGAAAACAAGGGTTATCACTATCAAGAATAACAGGTGGAGGAGGACGGGTAAGAAGTCTGGGTCGGGGAGCCAGGGGAAGAGTAGTAGCTTGGCGACTAGATTCACCAATTTTAGATTTTTCCTTACCCTTACCACCAAATATTTTTTTCAAAAAAAAGTCCATATTAATTATAATTACACTAACTAAAACAAACAAAACTATAATATTAAAACTTAAGAGTTGGAATGAGTTTACCGAATTGACGAACAACTTCTTGAAAATTGAATATCGTTGAAGACTTGAATACTTCAATTCACCAACTAAACAATTTTTCACAAAATTGCAATAATAAAGTAAGCAATTATAGAAGAAAATTAGAGAGAGATTGATGAATTTGTGAGTAAAAATGAAAGAATGAGGGGGTATAGTTGAGAATAGGCAAAAAGTGGAATTATAAAAAGTTTGGGGTTAAAACAAAGTTTGGGGGCCAAATGGCTATTTTTTAAAAAGCCAAACGGCTAAAATTGCAGGCCAACGACTAGTTTTTAAATTTCAGATCGTTGGCCTATTTTTTTTAAAAAAATGAAAAATAGTCGTTGGGCCCGTTAGGCCCGATTGAACCGACCCAGGCCCGCTTGCCGGTCCCGGGCTCGCGGTCTATTTGGTGAGGACCGGCCCACAGTGGGCTTTTAGGACCGTTAGGGACCGGCCCGTTTGAACCGCCCCATTTGGCCCGTTTGCTAGCGGTCCCGAACCGGTCCCGGGCTGGGCCCGACCCATAATACACCCTCACGTTAAACTATGGAACTCTATTTGAAGTATTTGTTTGGAAAAGAAAAAAAAAATTGCCTTCAAAACACCTTTAGGATACTTTGCAAAAACTTTCTTGGAAACATTAAAAAATTAAATGGTTTATGTCTTTTGTGATGGGAAATACATCCTAAAGGTCGGAGGCTGGAACTAGGATTTGAATCTTATGGGTTGTGGATTATAATCCTTTTAAGTTACTGAGTTTTGAATTAATAATTTGAACATATTAATTGGATTCTTATACAAAATATAGGGTTTGAATAAAAGTTACTGGGTTCGGCCGTACCCGCAACCAACGGTGTAGCTCTGCCCCTGCTTAAAGGTGTATACGAATATTGTTGCAATGAAGTTCACGGTGAAATTAATAAATGAGTAAGTTTATTATATGCAGCTCGTATAACTTGTGATTTGTATCTCTAGTGTTTCCCCATGTAACTCTAGATGGCTTAAAAAAAAAAAAAAGATTAAAGTAGGAGGTGATAAATGGAGAAAACAAAAGTAAAAAAAGTAGAAAGTGATGGTTTATTTCTTTAGTGATGGGAAATAAATCCATAAATATCGGCTGATGAGGGAAAAGGAAAGCTTACGCCGAAAGAAAGAAGTGGATCAAAGGCCTAAAAGGTGGTCAAAATTATCGCAATTTGCGAGTAAGCCCGTAAATACCGCATACCTATATAGGCACTCTCCTTTCATTTCTCACTTTGTCCAGTCCTTTGTAGTATTAGTGTGTAAAACAACAGAGGAGATGGAGTCAAGACTTAGAAGAATAATCCCACAACTCTGTTGTACACAGAAGAATAACCAAAAGTTTCTTAGCATAAATCTAGCCACAAGCTATCCTAACCTTAATGAGCAAGTCAAGGCATGAATTTTCTTTTCTTTTGTCTCCACTACCTTCATGTGTTTCTCTATTCTTGGCCCCATATGCCACTTTTGTTTTTTTTCTTCTACCTCAAAATCAAGATCATAGAGTATATCATGCCGAAATCACATGGAATGGTTCTTGTTCCGTTCATTCTTTTATTAATTTCAACAAATATGGTAGCCCAAAAATCTATTGTGTTTGGGTTCATTGATCATGATCAAGTTTCAAAAAGACCTGATCCTCTGCACCAGTTCAAGTTATATAACGGAACTTATAATCTTGGCAACAAGCACTATTGGGCTGTAAGTTTTATTTATAATGAAATAAATTAAAAAAGTTAGTACATATTTTTGATAGCTAACAAGGGAAGCTGCTGATATGTGTATTTGTTTTTCTTCCTGAAATTTATAGTCTGCGGCTTTCACAGGCATTCACGGCTATGCAATTGCTGGGATTTGGTTATTTTTTGGATTGGGATTTGGGAGTTATATGATATATAAGTATTTTCATGGCAACTCAGCAACTCCAATTGTTGACTATCCACCTTCTTCCTACATTTTGATGTTTTTGCTCGTTCTTCTGTTTACCATTCTTGCCATGTAAGCTGTGCTTATTTCTTGGTTTTTGGATTTCGACTATCAAGTATGTTGGAGAACTATTTTTGAACTGATTCTGTGCTCTGTTACAATTTTAGAAAGAAAATACACAAACACACACACGTTTGTTAAGATGAGAAGGAAGTTGTTTCAGGAAATAACTTTAGTAGTAGTAAATAATATCGTATTCTTAAGTAAATAAGTAAAAGGACACGTTGATTACAAAGCCAGAATTTTGCTTGTTATCTTGCTAACAACTTTGTGTATGCATTATGGAAACCACTCTAGAAGTTTTCTATTCATGAATTATTCGTATTTATGTTGGAGTAAGTTGTCTTGTCTTATTTTCACGCAACTAGTTCACTTATTACGGAAAGTTAACACTGTCAATACAAAGAAGTTCAAAGTCATTATTAAATGCATTTTTCTCCGATGAATTAAGGGAAAATATATTGTACAGCTGCTCTCAAAATAATAGCCAAAAAACCGTATATTTTTTGTATCAATATACATTTTATATGTTATATACAAAAACTATACAAATTTTATAGATGTCTACCTAATCTCTTAACTAAAATAGCCGACGGATATATAATATATGTATAACAGCGTGTAATCAATGCATACCGTTAGAAAAAAATAAACATTGAATCTGACCGGCTATTTGTGTAACAATCCCTTTCTTCTCCCCTAGTTGAAATGATGATTAATGACGTCTGGTAAAATGGGAATAAAGTAGAAATTACAACACATTTCATTCATGTTAAGTTTTACGAGAGGAGTAAAAGAAGAAGACCGATTGATGTGTCTACTTTTTTGGTTTGGAAGAATTGCAAGCAGTGTTATTTTGGCAGCAAATAATGGTTTTGAACATAGAGTGGAAACGCTTCGCCAAACAATTTTTGATGCTGGTGGGGATACTCGTCATACCATTAGAAGAGTAATAAAGGTTTTGCTAAATATGCAAACTGCTTTAAGCCCTTATGATTCAGTAGCAAACCAGATGTTGAATGTTACAACTCATAGGCTTCGAAGAGGATCTATTATGATTCAACAGTTTGTTGACAAAACCAGACATTCAAGTAATGAAGCAATTACAAGTCTGTAAGTCATGACTTCATTCCCTGTGCTATTGCCCTTCTTATGTTCAATATATCTCTTTCATTAACCTATTGCTCTGTTCTGCAGGTATGTTGCAAATATTGTTGTTGTGACTGTCAATTTGGTATTTTTGGTTAGTGCATTAGGTGAGATTCATTGCATAAATTTTTAGTCTTATTAGAATGTTTGAAACTAAACATACTTCAATTCAATGTTTGGGTGTCAAACTAGAGAGCTAGTGATTTTGTGTGAGTTATAATAATATAAGCGAGTGTTACACAATTTCTACTTTTGCTATTGCTTTTTTCTCTTTAGTTCTTTCTAACGTACGTGTAAATCGATCGATGACATGGTTAGACTAATGGAATGCTGCTTTGGCTCAGTTTTGCTCATTTGGCATTGGCCTCTTGGATTTATAATGTAAGTGAGATTTTGGCACTTCTAATCACCTTTATATTATGAGGAAGCCTAAACTGCTGTTAATCTTTATTATTGTGTTTAATTTTAGAATAATCTTTTGCTGCTGGATTTTGACAACTCTGAGTTGGGTGCTGACTGGCTTTGATTTCTTCTCCCATACGTGAGCACATATCCTACTCTCCCTCTCAATTAAGGTTATTTTTCATATTATGTACCATATATAACTTTAGTACATGTTACATATGTAGCTTTGCAGAAGACACGTGCTCAGCTTTAGAGGACTTTCAACAGAACCCTAAGAACAATAGCTTGCAACTTATACTTCCCTGTGCAGAAGCTGGAACTTCTGATAAAACATTGGCGCAGATTGGCTCCACTGTTCACAATTTCATAACTCAGGTACTGTTATCTACTCCCATTATAGAAGAAACAATACACACAGCATTACTGAGTCAGATTTTTTTGTTTTTTTGTTTTTGCTGTTGATTTCCAGCTAAATTCTAAGCTGACAGAGGTGCAAGGATTAGGATTAAATGATATGGGGGAAAATAACTCAGGAAAAAGAGGAATTTGCGACCCCTTCTCCGGTGCACCTAATTTCAGCTTCACACCTGATCTCTGCCCTAAGGATACTATTCCAATTGGAGAACTGAAATATGTAAGTTTTAGGCAGTATCTTACACAACATGAATAAGAATCTTTATGGCTCATCTAGTCTAGTTAAATATTGGAAATTTCTTCCTGTTTCCGTATCACAATGCTATTGCATTCGAATTTTTAGTTATATACACAAACAACCATCAATTCAATTCATTTCCAGTTATTACTTTTTGTCACGTTACTATGGGCTCTATATGAAAAGTTAACCGTTGTTAGTTTATAGAACTTAAATTCGTTTATTTCTTCCTCATGGCACCCCATTTTCTTCCATCTGTCAAGGTTATAGCTTTACAAAGGATTTTAACATTTGATCTCTTATACACACTACCGGTGTAAATAATTTTTGCACTATTAGTATATTTTAACCTAGATTACCTATTTTATTTTTCTAAAGTTATGAATCCCACAAACTATGGACGATTACCTGTAGTAACTTGATAGTATATCTTATGTTGTCATTGTAAAAAAAAATTGAACTCTATTAAGAATGCTTATGTTTGCCTGTAGGTTCTGTCAAGAGTCACATGTTATGGAGAAAATTCTACAGGTGATTGCTTGGGTGAAGGAAGATTCATTCCACAGGCCTCATCTGTGGTGTTATTTGCTTACACTGAATCTATTCAAGACCTAATAGAAATATTCCCTGATTTATTGAGCCTAACTCAGTGCTCCACAGTAAAACAAGCATTTTCCAACATTTTACAGCACCAATGCAGGCCATTTAGAATTTCAGCACGAATACTATGGTCATCTATGTTGTCACTTTCTATTATTATGGTACTTCTGGTATTAACTTGGATAGTAAAAGCTCATCAAGAAAGAGGAAGAAGCTTTGATACGTGTTCCATTGTCCCTAAATCCGTCTAACATGCCAAGAAACTTGGCCAAAAAACAGATAATTGTGCAGGCAATGTAAAGATGTAGATGGTTTGCCTTTTTTTCTTTTGATAATTATAGTTGAAGTATACGGTATACTCTTTCCCCTGAAGTCGCAAGACGCCAAACAAATGGGGGTTAAGCTATACAAGAAATATAGAATATCTACCAAAAATGTACTTGGTTTATTAATTGGTTCTTGATGGGTACTCGAGGCTAAGTGTTGGCCATGTATATTTGCTAACTTTGCAGATTTGATACGCTACCTCTTGATTAATTTTAGTTCTGTCTGTTAGTTGGATTGTTTTGAAGGTTACTGGATCACTTTCTGCAGATTGGTAAAAAGCTTTAGAAAAAAATATCAGCAGCATTTAGTGTTTGCACTAAAAAAATATAAGACATGTCACACATATGAATATTTTATCGCTTGATTATAATTAAATGATATATATTTTTTATTTATTAATTTACAATTTTCAAAGTTAAATTGTTATTATATGGTATAAACTCCAGAGTTCGAATGAGTATTTTTCCTAGAACATACATGATGACAATGCACAATTAGTGTAACATTCCTCAAATCTATTGTTTACCTCGAAAAATTTGAGTAACAATTAAAGGTGATCTGTGGTTTTAAAGATATGTGATTTATTCCAATACTAGTGAATATACAAGTAATATTAGATTTAAATAAGAAGAATTGATGAACTAAACCAGTGTTGTTAGAGCAACGGGGACCTCGAGCTCGATTATCTCGGGGGCCTCGAGGCGAGTTAAAGAGCAAATAAAGTAAGAACAATAAAATTAAAATAATAAAGCTGAAGAACAATTGTGGAGCACGAGAAAAGCAAAGTAGAATATTTTATTGCAGTGATAATATGTTCTTTACAAATGATTGGGGTCCCCTTTATATAGGAGGAGAAAACCCCAATATAGTACATTTCTAATTGTGGTAAAGAATTCTATTGGTACAGCTATATAACGACCTAGTACGGACCTGTACCAACTCGTACAAATCTTATCCTTAGATATTTATGCTTTTAAAAAATTCCCCCTTTTTCTTGAGTGTCATCGAAATTATACTGTCCTCGAGGCAGATCATGACAGGTCTCCGATTGGCTTCTCGAGGTGCGCATATCCGGCCAGGCTCGATTCTTACTTCGAGCTTCCGAACTCGAGCTTGGGGTATGATCAAGTCTTCGAAATCGAGCTTTCCGATTTAGACCGTATACAGATAGTCCCCACGTTTCTTAGAATGACATGATATGAAACGATTTGAATTTCCGAAGTCCTTCATGATGGCATCACTCTTATGACGTAAGCGTTGAAATGACCGAAGCGTCCCGTCGGTTCTCTTCCCCAAAAAGCATTAAATGCACGTCAGAGCCGGTCGGCCATCAATATTAACGAATCGTCGCCGTCTTCCTCTATATATACTTGTTTCTCATTAAGAACTTTTCCACCTTGCAACACCTATTTTCCTCTATACGTTTCCTTTTCACCACCAGTTTCTCCGACGTATTAGCTCAAAACCTCGCCGATTTATTCATTTCTTCCTTCTTTTTTTAAAGAACCGATGGCAAAAACTTCCAAGTCTGTTCCTCAGAAAGAAGGAACCTCCACTTCTACTTCCCGTCCGGCCGGTGGTAAACCACCGGCGCTTCACGAGATCGTACCGAGCAGTTTTTCCTTGAAAAAAGACTTTATAGTTGAGAACCCTCCCGATGTCCCTGGCCATCGAGAGCATGTATCGAGGTACATAAGGCCAATTGAGAAAGAACTCCTCGACGCTGTGAGGAGAGAGTGCAAATGGGAAGAGAAGGTCGTTCTGCAAATACCTTCTTGTGAGGAGGACATCACAACTTACGTAAATGGGTTCCTAAGTGTGTATACATACCCCTTTACGTTGGGTCCTCTCGATCCGCTCATGCTTGAATTCTGCCAAAGATATCAAGTCACCTTGGGTCAGATTCATCCATCCTTTTGGCGGATCGTAATGATGATGAGGTTTTTCATTGAAAAGGACGGGCTCGAGTTCACCCTCAGCCACCTCATCCGATTATATCGACCTCAACATTTTCGAGGTTTAATCAAACTCCAACGCCAATTAACCAATTCCTTCTTTGCCAGTAACGACGAAGACAAGGATCGAGGTTGGATGATCTGGTTCATCCGGGTAAGGACCGTCGATGTTATTCCCAAGGAGTCCCTTTCGAGCGTGAGTGGAATTCTTTGCTTTAGTTCTTTTCCATAAATTTTGCTAAACTTCGCATAATTATTCCTTTCCCTTTTCCGCAGCGGTCTCGTGGATGCCTAATGTGGTCCTCGATCTCGAGGTCTGGGTTCGCAAACTAGCTGCTACTTCATCATACGACAAACGCAAGTGGCGAAACTTGTCGAAGGGCAAGTGGGAGGCGAAACACCATGGTACGCGTTATAATGTTTTCTTTCCTTATTAAGAATGTCTTTCTTCATGCGACCTAATTCCTCCATCGCAGGTATTGGTGAGTTCTTCAAGATGAGGCTGCCCCCTTCCGGGGAGGAAGTAGGATCTTCGGCTCCAAAGCCAAAGAAGGATAACAAGAGAAAAGGGTCCTCGAATATCAAGGACACTCAAAGCCAAGAAAAGACCGCTCGGAGGCGCAGGAAAAGCGTCGTCATCAATATGGATATTGACTCGGTCCACCAGTTCATGGACAATAATGGTGACGAGATGGAGGGTTCGACATTAGTGACTCGAACCAGGAAATCTTCCGTAGATATCAAGACTGCTGAGATCGGGGCCTCTAGCCTCGAGAAAGTAACTTTAAAAGAAAAGGGGGATGAAGGCCCTGCATCACCTGACGCGGTAACTGCTTCTCAAACTTCTAGAAATACCCCAAAGGGAGCAAGCTTCAAAGCTCCTTTGCCTAAATAGAGCACCTCGGGCGATCTCCCCGAGGCCATGACAGTAGGTTATTCGTCGTCATTTTCAGCCTTCTCCGAGGATGCCATTAGGGATGCTCAGAACTTGAAGGCGTCCGAGCTAGGAGGAGTCCCGAGTGAAAATGACCTCTTCCAGGGTTGCTTTGCTGGGGTCGGATGCAAGCTCAATCTTCGAGGAGGCTCAATGTCTTTGCTCAATTGTAAGTTTTTAGTGGCACTGCAATTTCTCTGACGTCATACTTTCCTATTTTGTCTAATCAATCTTTCCTTTCTATAGGCCTTCGATAAACTTAAGACCGAGTTGCGTCATTGTGAAGTCGAGTTGCGTAGAGCTTCGAATAAGGAGAAAACCCTTAGGCTTCTCCTCGACAAAAAGGAGGAAGAACTGAAGCATCTTCGATCGGAGTTGACCAAAGCTCGGGAATACGAAAATGAGTTAGAAAAGCAGGTAACCTCTGTTCTGAAAAAATACGGGCTACCTCTCCCGTCTTCGGAGGCTAATACTTCACTGTCACAGCTGCATCAAAAGCTAGATATGATTGGGTAGCTTCGGGGCGAGGTAGATCAAGTTCGAGCTGAGTGCAATAATTCGAAGGCAAAGATGGACACCCTCGTTGTGGCTAAAAATGATGCACTGCGAAGGTATTGACCCTCGAGGTTCAACTTCAAAATGCTCAAGGGAGCAACTTGATTTAGGCTAGCAGAATAGCCGAGCTCGAGGTTGGTCTTGCGAAGGCCAAAGCCGAAGTTGTGGAAGTTTGGGTCGAAGCCAAAGAAATACAAGCCAAGGCCGACAAGACGGTGGCCATCTATTTGAAGGATTCTACCGATGCTCAGATAGAGTTGACGGGGGCTTCCGACCGAGAGAAAAGAAGCAATGACTATGCCCAACGCCGATCCCGAAGGGAGACCCTAGAAGAGATCCATGCTAAGGGCTTTGATCTTTTCGAGAAGATAGAGCAAGCTAAGGCAGATGAGGCTGATGCCAAATTTGTCCTTTCCTCCGACAATGATGATGACGTCGAAGATGATGAAGAGGAGGGGGTTTCCGAATAGCTACCCCAGGGGAAGATGTTGGTCCTGGGGGAGGGGGGATGCCCCTTCGGCGTAGGTAGAAATTTTTTCTATCTTTTTGTAATTTTTTGCTTTGTAAGAATCCTATGTAATATCTTTTTACATATATAAAAAGGAAAGGAGTTTCCTTGATTGTTTGTCTTCAATTTTTCTTCAAAGTTTTCTTGATTTTTGATGCTATAATCTCTGAGCGTTGATTCAAATTCGGGGTAGAGTACACCCTCAAGTTTTGTGTTTTGATCAACGATCGATAATAGGTTACCACTTAAGGTTCCGAGCTGGGTTTTAGCTTAGGACTTTAGAGTCTGAGCTGGGTAAGGTCTCGAGCATGGTGTGCTTCGGCCTTTAAACTCTTTAAATATTGGCCCTTAGGCTCTTTTAGGTTGGACCTTTGGCTCTTTTGGGTTGGCCCTTAGGCTCTTTAGGTAGGGCCAGTTCGGCCTCTAAAATGGCTATAATTTTTCCCTCTTTCTCGCTAAAGACTTAGTGAAAATTTTGGTATGCCTTAGCATGTATTTTTGTATTCATTTTCGTTCGATTTTCTCGAAGGTTCGATTGATTGGAACCTCGTTTGTAATTTGATATGCAACGTTAATCGACTACCTTTTGAGGTTTTTTCGAAGGCCGATGTTATCGAAGCCTTTGCATTATTCGAGGGCTGATTTTATCGAAGCCCCTTATAATTTGCTTTTGCCAAGGGTAGCCTGATTTAACCAATTTTTTCAAAGTATTTGAAGGCCTTTAGTTTTATGGCGGAAGTCGGATGTCTCCGAGCCGCATTATTTCGGTTATAGCCTTTTCATATGACCGTAGTCTTTTATATGGTCGTAGCTTTTAGTCCCCGAGTGTGATGGCCTTGGCCTTAATATCGAGGGGATGCCTCTTTGAGGTCTTGTGAGCTCGAATGTGCCTCTTTGAGGTCTTATAAGTTCGAGTGTACGATGGCTCGATATGTCGATCGTCGATAACAGTCCCCCAGTGTTCGGGTGCATTTGGGGTTTTGGCCCTTGAGCCGTTAAATGTGAAAATAGTAGACTTCTTTGAGGCACAAAGTGTTTTTATATAATAAGAGTGCTTCTTCAAATAATGGATATGTGCATACATATTTTGCCGCAGGGGGATCGACTATTCTATATGGACACGGTTCATTTGGCCATTTGGCCCATTACAACATTTCTCTATCGAGGCCCTCCTTGGCATGAATTACTTTCTTCGAAGATGCGTCCTCCGAGGGTGATGCCCCCCCGTGTTCGAGGTTGATTGAAAAGAAGCCTTGAATACTTGTTGAATATTTCTTAGGTA